TAAACAAAGTACAGCTAATATACGTATATAGTAAATAATATTATAAAATACAATCCATATTACATAGGTTGTGCAATGATAAATATTTGTTAATTGTTTATTTTATTCATAATTAATTATACATATAATTTCATCCAGACAATTGATTTAATTTAAAAAACGCAATGAATAATAACCGTTTAATTATTTATTTATTTAAACTCGACGGGTGAATACTGAATGCCCATGCTCTATTTAATATATAATACAGTATTAATTGGTATTAACTTTTATCAATAATATACATATGAAATAATATAAAAATATTTTATAACAAATAAAACATAGTTATTACACGAATTACTGTGGATAATTTAAATGTTTACCAAATTTGTGTATAACAATTTTCAATACACGTATTCGCTGCTTGGGTAATTTGTTTTGACATTGATGGCCACTTCTCCACTAGCCCTTCCACTGTCTAACCTGTTTTTATTACTTGGTACGAATTAAAAATGCCAAAAAAAATAAAGAGGGAAGTCCGTGACTTATACACTTAAGGAACCGTTATTATCCAATCGCATTGAATAAAACAATATTGTATTAAAAAACATTTAAAAATCAGATGCTCTTCAAACTAAATTCCGGTTGGATAATATTATTATTATCACCAGCCATACGTGGAGGACACATATAAAGGAAATAATCAAAACAACGAAACGACTAAACCATTCCTTTTCGATTCCAATACATTTAAGCTTATCATAAATCTGTATTTTATTAGACTCGCTTAGACAAGGACCACACATGTTTTATTTTTTAATTTTATGTATTTTTTTTTTTTGTATTTCTTGAAACAAAGAACAGTTTAAAATAGCCATTTTATATACCTAATTAAAGTTAATTAGCAAAAAAAAAAAATAATTAACTAGTTAAGTTAAAAAGTTAAAAAAAATTAACTTTTTAACAAGTTAATGCTCAGCTCTGCATTTTTAGTAGGTACTGGGGTAGAAATTGTTGTACCCATGATTGCGTTATTTGTTTTCATATGAAGCTAATATATTAAAACTGATGTTTTAACAACAGTATAGGTACTTACACTCACAAGAGAATCGCAGTAGTACAGACTACAGCGTAGGCAAAGTACAGAGTGAATACAAAATAAGTCTATACTCTATACTTCTACAGCGCAATTATCGGAGCATCATTAGTTATTATATATAAATATATAATTATAATAATTATTGTTATGCTATATAATTGCTATTGACAATTAAATTTAAAATTTATCAATAACTCCAAAAAAATGAGGGTAGGTAATTTCAAAGATACGGTAAATAATATAATCAATTCTTAGATTTTTTTCTAAGACAAAAATAAATAGTATGAAATAAAATAAATTTCTACGAAACTAATATACCTTACTTTTAAATAAATGGATTTTAAATGTTTAAATCACGGTATATTATAATATACCGTGGTTCTAATCTTATATTAATATTATAGCATCCATGCGTGACTCTTAAAATAAATAAAACCAAATCGTTTCTATCATGAAATATTGTTTCCGTAGAATAGGTAGTCTGGCTGTTGCATAGTTGTTACATTTCCCGTGATCGAAGACTTGACAACAAATATTATGTGTGGGAACGAAATTTTAGTCTTGGGGTGAAATGTATGCAGTACACGTCCCCGCAACTGAAATAGCTCACTTCCCACCCTTGCCACACAATATATACTATTTTTCTACTCATAATTTTAGTCGTTTCTTAAGAAATTCACATGTCCTTATCTCTATACCTAAAAACATTAAGAGGACGCTGCACGGCCATTTGTTGTCTCCGTCTTATAACTGAGTACCTAACATAGCAAATTTATGCTCAGCAGATAACGTTTAGCTCAGTTATAGTTTAAAAATTAGTGGAATCTACCTATAATTAAACTTGATAGCAATGCCATACCTAGACATTTCTTTAATTTTTTTTCTTTTTATAGTCTTTAAGTTGAATTAATATTAATATTATAATGTTAGAGTTTTTTCTTCATTTCTATGGTGATCAAAAAAGCGCTAAAAATTAAAATCCCATTTTTAGTGGTTTTTCGTAATTTTTCGGTGGTTTTTCCCGTGGCATTAAATAAAAATTTGCTAAAAGATAAGGTAGATACTATATATTGAAATCGAAGCACACAATTTTGTATACAGGATATATAAAAAAAAAAATAATAAACACCATAAATAGTGAGTTATAGCGTGTATGATGAATGTAAATTAAAAATGCTCATAACTCACTTAAAAACTGAATTATCGTAAAAAAAAGTCCAACAAAACACAGATAATATTCTTACCATCAAGTTTCATAATAGGTCAATTCACTCTAATTTTTAAGCTAACAGCATAAAATTTTAATTTCTGATTATAAATTTGCCATTTGGTATGTTATGCGTTTGTAAGACGGAGACAACACATGCGGGTGTGGCGTCCTCTTAATACTATAATTCAGTTTTTAAGTAAGCTATACAGTTTACGCCCAGGGTCGAGTAATAATGTAATTGCAAATTAAAAATTATTGTAACAAAATTATGCAGTAACTTACTAGTAATTTCATTGCATTTTATTTAATGAATAGTAACGAAATTAATTTTTAAAAGTAATTTCTATGGAGTAAAGTGTATTTTTCCAACGTTATTAAAATAAGTTAAAAAATGTAAAACATTTTATGACAAAAACTAAAGCCTAGGATATTTAAGAAAACGTAAAAATCCATAATATTTATTCACAAAACAGTTATATCATATACATATTATCACAACAGTTTTTATAATAAAATAAATAAATAATAATCAACAATATTATTAAGAATCCCAATTCCCAGGAATCAATACTTATATATTTTCTACATATATAATAATGTTACGGTCAATGGCGAAAATTGAACTTTTACTTCAGTAACCGTCATTCACGTTATAAGCCTAGTTGCTAGGTTAATTTCGTAAACTACCGGGAAATGAAGTTAGTATCCAAGATAATAGTTTTTTGTTGATAATTTTAAACAAAATAAAACAGTTTTACCTCAATGGCCGAATATTAATGTTATTAGCCCTTGACTGTTGGTCAATTACTGAAAATGCACATTAATTTAATTAATTACAGACTACAGTTATTAATATTTGTCTTATTATTTTTTTATTATTAATTATATAATATATTTATTATAATTTATTAATTATTCGCACGGCATGCTGCTGTGACATTTTGAGTTACACAATATTCCCGCTAATCGACAAGTACATTTGTTTTTTCTCCACTTTAGTTCACAATAATTGCACCTTCTGTAACCTTGTGATTTAGTGACATTACTAAGACCTGCAGCTTCTCTCGGCGTAATTTATTTTTCGGAATTGACAGATTCCAAAACAACGAAACATTCTTTGCAAGGATCGATCTGCGATCGAGTTTACAAATGTTTAATAATGCCGTTCTTTGAACCTAATAAAAGATAATCATTTATTAATTCAAATAAATATATCTTAAGTATCTTAATAAATATCTTGATAATTTGTTAGATAACCATGGCATTATTCAACTTAGAAAACTGCTAGGTATGTATTATTGTATTAATATTATTTTTTATTATGGTTTGATCGAGTAACTATCGCTGAGATTATCAATGATATTAATAAATAATATATACTAATGTAGTAACGTCTGTGGATAAATAACTGACAGTGACCCGTAGGTAGGTAAGCTATAAATGTATATAATTTATAACAACGTCCAACAGTAGTTGGGAATTGGTCATTTTTGACATTGGCCGGGCTTTATCGTAAATAATATATATAATAATAATAGTGTTTTATATAGGGAGCGAGTTGAAGCCCTAATATAATAATTTTGAATAGACTAAAAAAATTTCGATGAAAGTATAGAAATTCCAAAAACTGCATTGAATAGGTATGTGTAAGTCTATTTAAGATCAATCAGGCGTGCACTATTTAAGATTGTTAATTTTAATTTCAGACAATCCACATTCTGCCCCCCCCCCCTGAAATGAATTCCTTTTAAAATCTTATTTACCATAATTTCAATACACAGAGTCGATCATTTATTGGTCATTATGTTGATATTGTAACAATATATCAGGTTAAATTTTTAAAGTTTTTGGCCTAACAGATAAATCTTTATTGATATTCATAATAAAAAAAAATTAAAAAATTGAAAACTTACAATGCCTGTAAACAGCTCAAAAAGCGTTAAAATATTTTGAAGATGTTATCAAGTATAAGAATTGATAATAAATAATAAACATTCAGTGAAATTTGCATGTATCTAGAGTCATTCGTTTTTGAATTATATCAAAATAAGAAAATCATTACATGAGAATTCGAGTGAAGAACAAATTTTGTGAAAATATGATTTTAAAATGCTCGTAAAAATTTAATTTCACTTTCCAGTAGACATTTTTTTTTTTGATAAAGGTAGACAAACTTATGAAAATCTTGTATTAAATTCTCAAATCTTAGATTTAAAAAGAATATTTTTTAAGAATTTCTAACTAAAAATAATTTGCAAGATTTCTTATTTTCCCGTATTTTGTCAATATTTGAACTTTAAATGATCATAAAGAAAAACTGTGACAAAGGATTTTTAATATTTTTCAAAAGTCGTTGTAACAACATAATAGGAGCTTTGTATTAAATTTTCAAGCTTTTTTACCTAACAAATAAAGGTTTATTGACATTCATAGTACATACGTTTTTATATTGTATGCTCTAAAAGTCTAAACAGATAAATAGATAATATGTGCAAAATTTAGAATAGTTACCTAAAGATGTTTAAGAATAATGTCAAATATTTTTTATGTACCTATAATAAAATGTTTATATGTGTGATACACGTTTGTCGACGAATTAACTATGAATAATTACCAACTTTAATGTTTATTTAATTGTAGGACGACAATCTCACGGCTGCTGTCGGTTTTTCTTTGATGCTGATCGTCACCGTCATTTTTACTTTTGCCATGGCGTGCTTAGCGCTGCTACTCTGCCGGTTGTGCGCAGGACTCGCGATGACTGCGTTTATCGCTGACACCGTGAGGAGTCCTGCAGTGCAACAGGCACTGAGAAACCGTTTTCCGGGAGCAGCCGGAGAGACGGCGTCGGACTGCGCGAGACTGGCGACTCTTACACTAGCATTCGGGATTTGGTTTGTCGCCCAGTCCGTCGACATCGTCATGTTTATGGCGGTGGAGTTTCAGGAACAGCAGACGCCACCGGAAGTCCGATAGACGACACTGCGCTGCCTTTATGCAGCGTCGAGGAGCCATCAGCCGCGTGGACCGACACCACGTAAGTGCATTTACCTATAGGTATAATCAGAAATTAAATAATGTTTTTTTTTTTATATTACCGATACCTAGACCAATTACATTTAAATATTGAAAAGTATCTTAATTAATATCTTGATAATTTGTTAGATAACCATGGCATTATTTAACTTAGAAAACGGTTATGTATTATTGTATTAATATTATTATTTATTATGGTTTGATCGAGTAACTATCGCTGAGATTATCAATGATATTAATAAATAATAGACATATACTAATGTAGTAACGTCTGTGGATAGATAACTGACAGTAGGTAAGCTATAAATGTATAATTTATAACAACGTCCAACAGTAGTTGGGAATTGACGTGAATAATAAAATAATACTCGTGTTTATAACATTAACCATTTTGTGCCGCCACTTACGTAAATTACGGGTCATTTACGTACATTTGTATTGTAGAAGGTCATTTTCGACATTGGCAGGACTTTAACGTAAATATTACATATAATAATAATAGTGTTTAATATAGGGAGATAGTTGAAGCCCTAATATAATAATTTTTAATAAACTAAAAAAATTATACAGAAATGTGTGGGGGGGGGGGGCTTCACCAGTAACCAGCCCCAACATTATTGAGCTTGTGTGTGTATGTGTGTGTATATTCACGTACAAGTCACCACTATTTTGTACATGTGATTTGTCCTTTTTGTCACTCTTACCTATAAAAATTCGATGAAAGTATAGAAACTGCATTGAATAGGTATGTGTAAGTATATTTAAGATCAATCAGGTATGCATTATTTAAGATTATTAATTTGAATTCCAAACAATCTACATTTTGCCACATTCTGCTCACTCCCCCCCCTGAAATGTATTAATTTTAAAATCTTATTTACCACCATTCGATACACAGAGTCGATCATTTATTGGTCATTATGTTATAATAAAAACGTCGGTAGTCATAGTTTCAGTTATTATACGGGTTTAGAACATTACTAAACGTCTGACGTAACTGTTGTATACTGTATCGCTTATTACGACCCGAAGAGATACTCTATAGAGTATAGATGATGACCAGGTACCTATCCAGGTTAAGCACTCAAGTATTATAAATGTAGACTAAATTTGAGACTAGGTACCTATAATTTGGTATAAACAATTATATAAAAACTGTTTACAAAAAAATAATGTAAATTATTTACCTGGGTAAAACAATATATTTCATATCTAATTCCCGTTGGTCAGATTGTATTGAATAAATTTTACTTAGGTACCTATGTGTTTAAATGGATTAAAATTAATACACAGAGGACTTTTGGTCCTGTTGGTCTGCAAATATATACGTGTACCTACTATATAAAAGTAGTTCTCAAACTGTGGTAAGCATGATATTAGTGATATGCAGAAGGCTACATGGTGGTAGGTAGGTGCAAGTACGGTTTAAGGGATGCAGGGCCCCCGGGCCTCAATAGTTAGAATTTATTTAAGGGTTCCTGATTTCTAAATTGCTTTTTTTTTTATAGGCAACACTGTATAAATCACCTAAAAAACTCGATGTTTATTCAGCTACGAAAAAAGCTTGTAAATTATAGTTTATAAATAAAGCGTAATACATTATTCATTATTTATTGCTATATACCTAATATCTATATATTATATTATTATAACAGGTACCTAATATATAGATATTAAGACAACTAATATTTACCGAATAGTATAAAATTAAATAATTGACGAAAAATTAACATGTAACATAGTGGCATAATATATAATACCATAAATGTAAAATGCTAATATAACATTTTGGTGAAAATTGCAAAAGTCTAGTCTGGTTATTAGTTTTTAGTTTTTTCTGACACTACGTTTCTTTAACTACCTACTGTTAATTTTCTATTTTGACCCCTCCAAACTAACAACTAGAATCACTTTTCTATCAGAAAAGATGATGAAATTAAAAATAAAATCATAGTTTGTACTGAAAGAAGTGTCTCTAGACATAAAAAAATTTCATCATTGTAAAATAAAAATCTAAAAAAACAATTTATATTCACGTCGTTACCTCCATACATTACATAATAGAATAATACAACAATACATTAATCACTATAAATATATTATTCTTTTCTCTTTTCCGTTGCCTTTATGGTAGGTATACAGTATACACTCCACAGATTTCTATATAGTATAGAAGTCTGTGATACACTCTGACCACGTGGCACCTCAGCAGTCTGCAGGTGGAATTAACATCCGTGGATTCATCAACAGCCTGGAGAAACAACTGCAAGTAGGTACAATCTAGCGAAACCACAGCCGCCTACTGTGAGTTTCGCGACCGTGGACGCACGGTATAGATCGCGTCCTCGGGTTGCGGATAGAGGAAAGCCCGGTTCCCTCGGTAGCTTCCGAGTCGGGTAGCTGGCGAATAACTAATAACCAGCCGCGGACAGCTTCGATTAAATGACCCGTAGTTCCGGACAGTATGTCCTCTGGGCCGGTTCACGGTCGCCGGCTGGGCAACCGACCCAGGCGGTGGTGCTCTCAACACGAGTTGAGGGCACGGGCGCCGGAGTTCGCTCCGTCCAGCAGCCGGGCGTCTCAGCGTAAGCCGGGTTTGGGCATGTCTCCGGGACACTGCGGTGAGTGTTACGGGCTCGCGGCTGACGGCTCGTCTGCTTAGAGTCCCTAATTCGGTAGGCGAGGGTGGTCGTCGCAAAGTGTCCCACCTTTGACTGAAAGGTAGGGCTGCCGTCAGCTTGGGCTGGGCGCCTCGGCTCGGCAGGCATCCGGGTCTGGGCGTTTGGCCAGACTGACCCAAGAACACGGGTCCTTGCTGAAGATAGTTCGAAAGGGTGGTGGCCGAGATTAATTTCGCACCTCGCGGACACCCGTCCGCGGTAAAGGCAAACCAATGCCCGTTTTGCCGACAGAACTGGTAGACTCTGAGGGGGCGAAAGTCTGACTGAAGACGCTTCAGTGCCACGGGAGTGAGTGGGGCCCCGTCGGTCACGACGCCACTCACCGCGGGCGTCCAGTGATGGTTCACGCCCCTGGACGTCCGTTGCCGGTAGGAATCGTGGTGGTTGTATTCTTGCGAATACTTTGTGGTTAAGTCAATAGATGCTTATTCTAAGTTCTCGCTGACAGGCGAAAACCTCTGATGAACGGCCGCCACGTCCCGGGGGCGCGAGTCACCGGTACGTTGTCGGTTCCTCTCGGGCGTCTAGCCGCTATACCGGTGTAGTATCATCGGAGGTTGAGTGTAACCAGAAACACTCGGTGTGGGGATAGCGCACAGCCAGACCAGGCGAATTCAGGCGGCACTCGGCCTGTCTTCTTGGTACGGGACCTCGGTCCCGGTGCTCGTGGTCCGTAGACGACGCGCGGTCGGCGGACTGGGCCACCGTACGTCGACCGTGAACCTCCGCGGCTCTCGAATAGCGCACAGCGCTAATGTGAGGTCCGCGGTTGTAGCCGCAAGGCGTCAAAACCCGGGAGTCTTTGTGCAAGTAGGTACATCATGAATCACGAAAAAGGTGGACCAAATACCAATTCTACCACTATGGAGTAGACGCCTCCCAATCGCCATTCGGGAAAGTGAGCAATTCGGGATATTCGAAATCATCATGAAACTATAATGTTAGGATTTAGGATGTAACCAACTTATACCAATCAGAAAAGGTTATAAGTTATTCATAGCTTAACTAATTTAAGTAATTTGTTTCAAAAATATTAATGTATTTTTTCTTATTTTAGAATATCAATAAACGTCAAAAACATTTTATTCTTAGGGTCAAAAAGCTTGGAAATTTAATACAAGGCTCCTACTATATTGTTACAATGGCATTTGAAAAATATTAAAAATCCTTAGTCACAGTTTTTATTTATAAGATTTTTAAGTTCAAACATTTACAAAATATGGAAAAATCACGAAAATTAACAAATTATTTTGAGTTAAGAATTCATAAAAAATTTTCTTTTTAAATCTAAGGTTTTAAAATGTAATACAAAACTCCTTATAATTATCTACCTTTATCAAAAAAAAAAAATGTCTATAAGAAAGTCAAATTAAATTTTTATGGGCGTTTGAAATTCAAATTTTTTTCACTCGATTTCTCATGTACCGATTTCCTTATTTTGTTGTAATTCAAAAACGAATATTTTTAGATACATGCAAATTTCAGTGAATATTTATATTAGCATTTCCTATACACCATACAATTTTGAAATTATTTTGACTCTTTTTGAGCTGTTAACGGACATTTTCAGTTTCCAATTTTTTTATTTTTTTATTCCATAAATATCAAATAAGTTTTATCTGTTGGGCCAGAAAGTGTAAAAATTTAATACAGGGCTCCTAATTTATTGTTGCAATATCAGTTGAAAAATATTAAAAATACATAGGCACAATTTTTTTTTTATAAGCATTTAAAGATCGAATTTCGACAAAATTTATCAAATTTAAAATTGAATAATTATTTTGCAGTTAAAAATGTATAAAATGTTCAACTTTTACATCTAAAGATTGAAAATTTAAAACAAGATTCCACGTAAGTAGTTAATTCTGTTACCAAAAAATCTAAAAAATACATAAGCACAGTTTATTTATATAGTCATTTTAAGTTCAACTTTGGACAAAATTATATAAAAAAAAAACCTAGAATAACTATTTTAGTTATAGGTACCTATTTTAGGTAAATTTTTTTTAACACGATAGATAAGTACCTAGATTGATATACCGTCTCCGCTTAAAATCGTTTTTCTTATACAATGATATTATATCATTGAATTCAAATTTAATACTATCCATTATACAGTGATCCACTTGTAACCTACTGTACAGCGGAGCAATTTTTTTATTTATTTATTTTTTTTGTGTCTGTCATCACCTTTTAGGACAGTAAAAATGAACAAGAACTTTGTTTTAAATTATCAATCTTCAGCTTTAAAATCTAAAC